GCGCGCTCGCCACGGCCCCGACAGCCTCGTGGTGCGGCGGGGAGCAAAAGGCACGTCCGTGGCGCTTGTGGTTGGCAGCAGCGGGCTCCTGCCCTCGCGGCGGGCCCTGGGTGCTCTAGGAAAACGCCATTCTTGCTGCTAGTTAGACTAGAGCCGCAAAGTAATGCACCGAAAGCACGTACAGAGCGGACATACCTGGAGGCACTGACAGCGAAGGTGTAGCAGTGGCATCGGTCGTAGCATCTGTCAAGGGTTGAAGAGAAGGGCTTTGGTGAGGAGCATTTGAACTAAGGAATGAACTGGCATCCACGAGGGCTGAACTGAAGAGGAATAGATAGCCACTTCAAGAGCTTGGTGGTTCCCATGTTGCCCAAAACTGGAAACGAAGCATCGGAATTTATATTCCACACCTTCAAAGGAGTGTACTTCCCAAGGTCAGTCTGTGTGAAAAATTGATCATTATAAAATGCATTTTTACAATCATGACTCAAGTTATGTTTGATTTCTTATCCAACATTTTTATGACTACTCAGTCTTTACGGAAAGATAATACATGAATAGTAAGTTTCAGTTTCCTGGAAAACTTGTGCCACCCCTATTACTGCAAATTATCTCAGCTGAAGCTTTGACTTGTGCTCAGGCCTGTTATTACCTTTGGAATCAGACTAGTGGACTTAAATGCCTCTGCATCCCAACCATCCCAATTTGTTTTTTTATTTGCTCCTTGTAGCTAGTGACTTATTAGACAGAGTCTGAAAGGGGTTGCTAGGTGAGGCAGTATATTCCTACCAAGCTTTCCATAAGACCCTTCAGTAGACAACCCTAGTCTCATAAATGTTTAAATTTCTGACAGTGTCCTCTTGCAATTACAAGCACATTTCCCTATTGCTTGTCAGTAGTACATTAGAGCAATCAGTGGTTTCTTGGAATCTTAGTTGGAAGGGACCTTTGGACGCCTCTAATCCAACTTTTCATTCAAAACTGGATTCAGAACAGGTCGCTCAGAGATTTGTCCAGGCCAGTTTTCAAAACCTCCAAGAACAGAGATTTCACAGCCACGATTAACTATCCTCATAGCTATCCTCAGCTGAGCTCACTTTGGCAGTGTCTTCTTTGCACTGTCGGGCCCAAAACCGGACACATTGTTGTAGATGACGTCTAATGAACACCAAGAAAAGGGGAATAGTCACTTTCTTCAATATACTAGCTATGATCCTCAAGTGAAATTGCCTATAAAGCTTCTTTGATCCTTTGAATCATAAAGATTAGAGAAGGGGAAAGAAGTATGAGTTGAAATAAAATCAAAAGTAATACTGAAATGAACTCCTCAGTTGGTTTATGTGAAGTTTTAATGTCATTTTAGATAGCTTAGGGCACAACAGCCCATTATCTTATCCTCTTGTTCTGTTTGCTGGAGCCACTGTATTGTACTTCTATTGTTTCTCCTCATGTGATGAGGAAAATAAGGACAACTAGAAACAGGCTAACTGTCACCCTAATTTTCAGTTGACTACATTTCATCCAGGCCCCACCTCTCTTTCTGTTTCGACAAGGATGATCCAGGCAGTAATTAAACCGCAATGGTTGGTATACTAACTGATGAGTCCCACTGCCATATTCCCAGTTCCTGCTGCAGCAAAGTACAGTCTCTGTCTAGAGACAAATGGAATAGGGAGTCCTCTTTCTGCAAAGGCTTATAGCATTGAAATAGAGCATTGAAAAGACAAGAGTCTACAGACAGAATCACAAGCTGTGAAAGTAGTCACTGAGAAGAGGAAAAACAGGAAGACAATGGTAAATACAACTGATTGTATTTATATGTTAATAAAGAAATGAAAGCATGAACGTTGCCATTCACAGTTCTACTGTTTCTAACTTCCTAGCAAGAGCAAAATCAATACTATGTGCGCAGTCAAGTTATCACACATTGTGACTAATTAAGTGAGAAAGGGCTGTGAGATGGTATTCCTTCCTCTAAATTCTTGAAAAATAAGAATTTTGTACTAACCAAGGGGGCTAACTAGCAGGAAAGCAACTTGGCAGAAAAGAACCTGGGGGTCCTGGTGGATAACAAGCCGAACATGAGCCAGCAACTTGCCCTTGCAGCAAAGACGGTCAATGGCAACCCAGGCCACATTAGGTGGAGCATTGCCAGCAAGTCAACAGAGGTGATCCTTACCTCCAGTCAGCACTGGGGAAGCCACATCTGGAGTACTGGGTCCAGTGCTGGGCTCCCCAGCACAAGAGAGACATGGGCACACTGGAGCAAGCCCAGTGAAGGGTCAGAAGGATGATTGCATGTGACACATGAGGATAGGCTGAGAGAGCTGAGACTGTCTAGCATCAAGAAGAGAATGGTTGGGGGGCGGGGAGGGTCTTATCA